ATCATTGGGCCCCTATCCTAACTGATTTCAAGGCAAGCTCTAGAAATGTGATGGCTTAGTGTGTTTGCTGAGCCCTTCTAGGTTGGGAATTATGTTTGTTCATTACTCCCTCAGGACAACCATGCCTTTATATCATAATGTTAGGGAGGGTGCAATTCAAGATGAAAAGGGGATGCGGTTTGCCTTCTTACTCTGCCTGCCTGGCACTTTCCAAAGCTGGAAGATACTTCTATGCATGTTTTGCCTCATGCTGACAGTAGCCAGTGGTGGGCTGCTGCATGATTGCAAGGGTTCAGGTGAACTCTTAGGTCTGATCGCTGGCTGGGCCTGCCCACCTGCCCATGTTCTATGCTATCCACTTGTAACTTACTTTCTTGCTCATTGGCTGGCCCAGCTGCATTCTGCGCCGCCCCCTGCTGTACTCACTGGAGCTGCCTGAGCTGATTAGGAGCCTGTTTGAAGCTCCGTTTCTCTCCCAAAGGAGTGCGTGCAAGTGAAGCACACACGCTTGCATGCACTCACAACCAGCAAACCCTTTGTTACAGAAAGTGCAGCCCATCTCTGACAGTAGCTCACTGAAAAACTCTTCTTAGTACAGTACATGGCAAGTACTCAAGGAGGGGATGGAGAACTGAAGCAACATGATTATTTCATTTTTAAAAACTTACTTTGCATATCCATATTGAGGTCCATATTGTAATATCTCTTCAAGAGGGTCCTTTGCTTGAATGATCAGAGCAGGGGACCTCCTCAAAGGCCTTTACAAGCTTATTCATAACCAATGTCATTTTCTTCTTCTGAGGTACTTTTAGAGACATTGGATAAAACTTCATCAATGCTATAATTTGTTTATTTGCCTTGGCCATCTGTGGTGCTAGAAAACCTCTCAAGGCATCTGACAGAATAAAACAAATAATACAATAACGTTAACTGGTATGACTGCTACCTTAGATGTTGTGGTTTTAAATATAAACAAGTTACTGGTTTTATTTATTTATTTGATGCATTTAAAAGACTTTTTTAAAAAAAGTATAAACGTTTGAATCCCCCCCCCCCCGAACAATAAAACATAAGTAATAATTTGAAAAATGAGGTAACCTCAGATTTACCGTATACGTCCTTTTCAGACACTGTGGTTTTGGCTTCATGATATAAAAGACAAAAAAATTAGACCTTTAAAATCTGCTTTGGCTCCTGGATTTAACATTGCAGTTATGGACTTTTAAAAGTTGTCTCTTTTATTTGAAACAAATAATTATGGTTCGCTATTGATTTTGAGCCAATTTGATATGGCTAGTAGTTTTTCATAATATTGAATAGTAATATGGTAAGATTAAAGTATTAAGGCTGTCACAAAGAGGAAAAGTGAACATATTTTACAGATACACTGTTTATTCTTGGCTTAATAAATTATTATTGCCATGAATGAATATTTAGTTTGCTCAAATGACTTCAAATATTCCAAAGAAAGAATTTCCACAGTTCTGAAGCGATGACCCAAAAAATTATCTTCCTGTTGCTATTGTGCAAACAGCAAGGTTTGCGATCCAATCAAGCAGTTTTGTGCAGCCAGTGCCATTTTTTTAAAATGAATAAATAAAATAGTAAATTTACAGCCACTGCTGCTGAGTACTTCCAAACCTTTCTAGCAACAGAACAACTGATCAGCACTCCAAATATTTATTTGCACCCTGCAAGAATTTTTAATTTATCAATGAGCCTCTTTACTTGGGCACGTTCTGCTTAGACTTTAGTTTCTGAGTAACTTGTCCAGGGAAACTTTGTCCTTTGGGTATGAGAGAACCAGAATTTAAAATGCCTTCATGTTTGTATTTCAATGGTTGAATCTCTAGAAATTGTGGGTTTGGGTCCATTAGTAAGTACTGTATGATGATTCCCCCAGCTCTTCCTTTTTTTAGGAAGCTGTTCCCTAAATAACAGGAATTCTCAGAGTTTGTACTTAATCTGGTTCTTAGCCACAACTATTTCTCAACAAGGAGCCCATCCCTCTCTCTTCCAGTCTGCCAAAACCACCTACATTCTTTAATCTCTGAACCCTGGGCATTATGTTAAATTTAGTCTTCCTATTTTTAAAACATCCACAGAACACATAGTTAAAACTGATTTAGAAGAAGAATATACAAATAGTTCTGATGGTCTAAAGCTACTATATTTTATAATAATCTTTTTATTTTATTTATATTTATGGTGTTTAATCTATAGCAATATGGAAATCTGTAATTTATGTGAAGTCTTTCTAAATTAAAATAACAAATAAATAAAAATATGTATGTGAAAAATATGCTCCTGTATGACTGTTAAATATGAGAACCTCTTTTTATAAACAAAGCAAACTATGACCTCTGTATGACAGCTATGAAGAACATAACTGCAGCATTTAGCCAGCCATGACTGATCTCCAAAAGCTAAACAGCCAGACCTCAGTAATGCTTAGAAAGGTTACCAACAGGAAATCTCATGACTGTAAAATAGATCAGAAAAAAGGCAATGGCAAACTCTTTCTGTACTCTGCTTAAGAAAACAGCATGGTTTCCTCTGTGTCATTGCCAGGAATCAAGATAAACTAGAAGAACACTATTATTTTAATTACCACTTAGAATTTAACCCAGAGGGAAGGGGCATCAGATGAATTTATCTCTCTCTGTATAGCCTTAGGGTACCACATTCTCCTCTGCAATTTTCATTTTTTTCCTGTCATTTATTCTTATATACATCGTAAAAAATCTTTACTTTGTGCTCTGGAAAAATAAATGTGAAGTGTGTACAATATTTAGCATTTATTGGGACCATTGTTAGATACAGATCTAGAATATTTATACTGTTGCCCAGAAATTATCTTAATTTGTGGCAGGACAAAAAACAGTTGTTTCCCAAAAGTTTTCTCTCCATCACAGATAAGCACAAGATTGTTCAGCTCAGAACAATTTGCTATATATCAGCAAGACATTATACATCCCTCTTATCTCTTCTCTAAATTGGATGTGAGTTACAAAAAGTTAACAGTTCTGATCTGAAATTCCTAGGTTGAATTCAGTAAATGTTCAGAAGTGCCTTTTTTGCCTTAAATTCTAGAAGTATAGTTTCCACCTCCTTAGCTACTATTTTTGTGGTAGACCTTGAAATTAGAAGCTAATAATATCCTGTGTGTTCTTTACATAATAGAATCTATATTCTCCTGGATTCTGGACTTCCTTGGGGTTCTGAGAAGATGATAATGTGCCTTTCCAGACAATTCTATCTGTAAACTTACACCAGGCATTCAGACTCCTGCCACCCACAAATGTGCATTATATTTATTTCAGTTTTTTCTCCCTTTTGCTGTCACATGTAGTACAGCACTTTGTGCTAACTACAGACAGACGGAATGATCCAGTCCATCAACATGAATTCGCAAACCATCCTATTATTGTAATATGTAAATAATTTTCAGAAAACAGCATCTGCTTTCCTGCTCATTGATCAAGATCTTATACAGTAATTTCCATAACACTTCTGATAGTGCTAGTCTCAGCCTTCTCAAACCATATGGGGCCTACAAGCAATGCTGGGTATGTACAATGAGAAATTGTATCTAGTGCCTCCAAAGACCACCCTATTGAGAACTGTAGATCTAACTCCTCTTTCCTAGTTCATTTGTGCTTATGAAAAGAATATAGTTAGGCTTAAGTGGTCTTCCCCTGGGAATAGCTGCTCCTGTCCCAGTCTTGGAAGTGAAAGTTGAATTTGGTTAAAATGAATTGTGTTTGCTGAGAAAAAAGACAGAAAGCAGTATTTTTCCATGGTATAAGAAAGACGAAAAACAACATTAGGATTTCAGAAATCCGTGGACCAGACTGGGAAGTTAAACAAAAAACATCCCAGACAAAGGCAGTGGCAAATAACATATTATTGCCAAGAAAATTGCATGGACTTTGAAGAAGGCTTATCTTTTATCAGTCCAAATTATGATTTCAACATAAGCCTTTGTCTGATGAAGTTCAACAGAAGAAAGGTTTGGTCCTTAGATAACACATCCCATTGACTGATTTTCACATACATTTCTAGTTTAAATGAAACAGAGAGAAAGTTAAAAAAAAAACAAAAATCCCCTTTAGCTATGTTTTCCTATTTGCTACCAGGAAGCAAGACAATAGCAGTGGACTTATATACCGCTTCATAGGCCTATCAGGCCTCTCTAAGCGGTTTACAGAGAGTCAGCATATTGCCCCCAACAATCTGGGTCCTCATTTTACCCACCTCGGAAGGATGGAAGGCTGAGTCAACCCTGACAAAGTCTCTTTGGGACTCACATAAGAGTCGACCCAAAATATCTATGTTGTTCTTTTTCGCAAAATATCTGCGGCGGATGCAAATTCCCAGGCATAAATGTGGATTGTACTTACGGCATATTTCTAGCAAAGATATCTGGTTCCTTCATAGAGGGAGTAAGAGAATGATGATCTGCACTTTGGGTGATTTCCTGAGCTGCCAGCTCTACCTGGTTCCTGTTTTTAAATATTCTTCTCGCAATCATTTTGAAAGCTCCCGCTTGTTCTTCTTCCTCAACCTGCTGTCATTTATTTCAGTTTGCTATTTGTTGCAATTCTTTGAGTATTGATACGCAGTAGTTTCCCTCAGAACTTGAATCTCATTCTTAAGTAAACATTAAGTGAAGCCAATTGCTGACATGAGGAAATTTTAGCCCAAATTTCATCCATATCTTGTTTAAAAAAGGCATTTTGGACAATCATTATATTCTAAAAATGAACTCCCACTTCACAATGAACCTGTCATTCTTCTGCCCTTCAAATTTTGCTATCTTTAGATGGGGGTAAAAGCCAATCTGAATGTCTTAAACTGTTGCCTTAATTTCTCTATGACATATATAAAGTGGATTCATGTATAAGGTGAATCTATATCTGTAGTTAATAGCTAAGCTATTGTATATTTATATTGGTTTGCTCTGCTAATTGTTATTTTTTTTCTTTTTTCCAATGAAGCATTGACAGTAAGATTCATCACGAAGCGATTTATTGGTGATTATGACCCTACTCTAGGTAAGTTTAGTTACTTGCTCTGTCAAATCAGTGTCTTAGTTTGTATTTTTCTTTATCAATGGCAGTTGTTGTCAACATTGGATCTCAGATCAAAAATATATAGGCAGAAGACAGAGTCCTAGTTCCAAATCTCATCCCTCATATCTCTAAATAGATCTGGAAAAACCCAAAGAGCTATTGGCTGCCAATCATTGTCAGTCATGCTGAGCTAGATAGACTCATGCAAAATTTAGTTTTAAGATGAAGTACATGTGTTTAATTAGGGTTAGGTTTTTAATGTAAAAATTGATTATTTGACAGATCTTATAGAAAAGATGATGCCGTTGTTACTATTCCTTTTTCTTCTATTAAAAATACCCAAAGTAGTATTTAGTTTAATAAAAAAACCTAGATAAAATCAGCAGTAAAACTACTTGATATACTTTAGAATTCCAATTGAAGCAAGAGATGTGTTTTGCAAAGAAAGATGCAGAGACAGAATCAGACAAATTTCAACTAGGATAACATTCCAGATTTATGACCCCACCTTAGAATTATTAGTATAATCAAACTGATGAGATGGACGGCATATAAAATTAAGAAATAAAATAATAAATAAGTGCTAACTAGTCAGCTAACTAGTCAAATAGTTATCAGTGATGATTGACTCTGCTGCCATCTTACCTTCACTGGTCAAGCTCACATAACCTAGAACAGCTTTCTGCAAACTTGGTGCCCTTCAGAGAGGTCAAAAGGCAATTCTCCATCAACCCCTTGTCTTAGACTCATGAGAAAAGGAATCCAACACATTTGAAAGGCACCAATTGGAGAAAGCTGTTATAGAAAGTACATATTCATTGGTCCAGTTAGTTGACATTCAGATGAATTGCAGTCCTGTAATCTAAGACTTGTCTTGTTGGATCAGGTGGGACTCTTATTTTAATTCACAATTTGGTTTTGCTAAGTTGCCAACTAGAGAACTCCCAAGTAGAGACATATTCTCCTGCCATTCTTCCCCTAGTAGTAGTATTTGGAGATGCATGTCTCCAAATTTACCCATCTCCTATGGTGTAGAATCCCAAATATCCTAGCCATTTCTCTTAATGGAAGTTTTGAGCTATCTGATCTTTTGGTTGCCCTCTTCTGCATTTTCCCACCCTATTCTATTTTTCAAATGTCACAATGAGAACTGTGCCCAGTATTTCAAATACTGTCATATCATAGATCTGTTATAAAACCATTATAGTGTTGGCAGTTTTATATTCAGTTCTTTTCCTAATAATCCCTAGCCTGGGATGTGCCTTCTTCACAGCTGCCGCACATTGAGTCAACATCTTAATTGAATCATCTATTATGACTCCCCATCTATAACAATAACAACAATTGGAACATCACTTGAATACCATCAGCACTGACAAAATCATGATCAATTAATTGCAAAAGTCAGCTGTAGTTGGAATAGCTTACATCTTGCAACATCAAACAACAACATCCCCCACCCCAGATCCTTGGGAAGAAATTGATAGGTGGAAAAAAAATCAGATCCAGTGTAAAAAACTGTGGGGACCAACCATAATAATGTAAATGTATGCCTCCCTAACTCTCAACTACTCTTTTTTCCTATATAGTTATAGTTTAGACAGTAAGAATCTGGGGGGCGCAGTGGTTAGAAAACAGTATTGCAGGCTAACTCTGCCCATAGTCTGGAGTTTGACCCTGAAGGGCTCAAAGCAGACTCATCCTTCCATCTTTCATATCAGTCTAAGTGCTATTGCTATTAGATTCCATCATTATATACGTGCATTTATCTTGCTTTGCCACAATGTACTTCTCTTTATATGTTTACTGTACAGTATTTAAATTTCTTCATTGGTTGTTTTGGTTGATCATTCATCAGCTGAAAAGACCCTCCTGAAGCTCTTCACACTTCCTTGTAGAAATAGGGATCATTTATGAACTGTTGAAAAAAAATCAATCCCAATACACATTTTTGAAGGACTCCATTCTTGCTTCCCTCCACTAAGAAAGTTATTCATGTATTCATATATTTTCCTTTCTGCTTTTTAACCAGCTAACAATTCATAATAGTATAGATCCTCTTATTCCACAACAGAGAAACTAACTTAGACTTTGTCAAGATTTTTTTTTTTTTGAAAACTCAAGTATGTGACATAAATCAGTCTGGTAACATTCTCATTCTATAATTTATTGGATCTAGCTTTGGTACTTTTTAAAAAGAAAAGTGTTAACATTTGCTACTTTCTAGCCCTCTGACACTAAACCCGATTAGAAAGGCAAATTACATATTGTTGCTATGAGGTCAGTAATTTCAAATTGTGAATTCTTAAAAAAGCAACTATTTAGGGGATATCATCAAGACCTAATGATTCATTACAATATTGCCTTGCAAGATATCCTACAATATTCTCAGCTTTTTTAGGTGGTTGAAATTTCTTCCCTGAAAAAATTGTGTAGGCTCAGGTTTACATATCCTATGATAAAAGGGTGATGCAATAAATCTAATGCTGTCGGATGCTTATTTTATCTCTGATTTTTTGCACATTTAGGCTGTGATGATCATGTTTCCATTTAGCTTTCAGGCTAGCAGTCTTCTACTTACATATAGTGTGGGTTTTTTTTTTCATTTTTGCAGTCAATTTGAAAGGAATTCATAGAAAATTAGACTAATATTCATTGTGCCCTACTTTCTCCTTCAATATTACTTCCTTGCTTTGTTATAACCATGAAAGCGTTCCTTAGAAAAGTCAAAGCTGCTCTTTAGATAACTACATTGAATGTAGGTTTGTAACAGTAAAAGTTTAGATATTTTAAATGTAGCAGCAAAGAAGCTTGCTGTGAAAAGTGGAACAACTTCAGGGAGGTGCTTTAATTAGCAATTATAGTTTGGGAAACACTTCCAAGAAACATTGCTATACTGTATGGAAGTAGCAAGGCAAAATCCATGACTGGAATGACTACATTTTGAGATGATTTTGATAGATAAATTTTCTAAGTGGAGAGCAACATTTTGTGAACTATAAATTCCTGGATAATTACTGAACATGTCTCCATTGGTTTTTTTTAAAAAGAAATTGTCCTTGCCTCGGGGTGGACACTATTTTTTAAAATCCTTTTTATCTTTTCTAGCTCTAAGGATATAATCCCTGAGTGGTAAACCCCCACTGAAAATTAAAGAGATAGAGATGTATTTCCAAATAAATCTTCATCAAATATTTTAGCACACCACAGATTTAATTATTTGGAGAGTGCTATGGGTGCAAAGGAATGGAATCTGAAATCTCTCCCCATTTTTTATTTAGTAGTAATGAATAATTAGGAGGTAAAGAATAAATCCAAAGGTGGATATTATGCTTAGGCAGAATGTGGCAGGTCCCCTCCTTTTCAACACTGTTAAGTACAGTACCAGCCTTTTTGTCTGGAGAAAAAGAAGAATGCCTTTAGGGCCAAGATGAATGAATGTGGCTTATAGTAGCCTGGTCACATGGGACTCAGAAGGTAGAGATGAGAATTCAATAAAGAACAAAGTGATTGGAAAGAAAAATGGCTTCCAGGCATGTTTTTTTTTTAAGCAGGTAAACTTTCTGCGTTTCTCTTGCTGAGTTATGACAGGGCCTCATTTTATGGCACTATTGACATGCTTTCTTTTAAAGCCTATGGCAAACATTTCTGATACCTTCACAGATTCTCCAGGCTGAATGCAGAATTGCTTCACTGAAGCAAGAGGACAGCTCAGTAGCTCATTACGTTGTTGCAGTCACATTTCTACCCATCATCATTGCTGTGATGGTGCACCAGTGATGGTAGGATGAGGCCTGTGTTAGCTAGAACTGGTGCACCATCCTCACCTAACAAACTTCCCTGACTCCTTTATCTCCTCCGTATTCTGCATTTCCAGAATACATTTCTAGAAGAGGGGGCCTCCTTTTGCTTTTTTTCCCCTCCTCCTTATGAATACCAGAGGGATTTATGTGCTCTTTTATTGCTGTTATGCCTTCATATTAAACCACTTGTGGGATGATTTCCCAGATGTTTCCTTATTCAGTCTTGCATCTTTTATGATCTAAACCTAGTCCCTTGTGAATAGTGGCCACCCATTCCTCCTTTCCTCCTTCTACTTAGCTTCTTTCAATTATGTCTTAATTGTTATTTCCATAAGTATGTAAACATGATGCCGTGGTTGTGTTTCTCCAGTGCTATTTGTGCTTACATTTTGGTGAATTCTCAGGAATGTCACCAGTGCCTCCTCCAAGCCATGGTATTCCCGTGTTATGTTCTTCTCTCATTCAGCATAAGGATATACAGTTCTTTTACGTGGAGGACTATACTTGACCTTTGAATGGTATGTTAATATTAATGATAGCAGCATAGCCAGGACAAAACATAAATTATACTAAATTAAATAAACCTCTAAATGGGTTAAATACATTTAATATGAGTTGAGTTGTGTATTTAAAATAACTTAAGGGAAACTGTTAGAGGACATCTGGAGGCCATGTCAGGTATTTTTTTTAAAAAAAAAGGTAGAAGTTTTTATTATGACATTGTTCTGTCTGTGCAACTCTTCCTACCTCATTAATTTAAGTATACAGATCAAACTCTGTTAAAACGTATTTGTCCAGTAAGTTTTATCATCTGATGATTTATATTTTTGTATGTTTTTACTATGAATACCGTGTTTCCCCGAAAATAAGACAGGGTCTTATTTTCTTTTGACCCTCCCTAATTTTGCTTGGGCCTTATTATTGGGGGGGGCTTATTAGTTTGGGGTTGCCGGGTGGCTGCTCTCTTGCGAGAGGGCATCTGAAGAGTCGGGCACAGCCTCAGGGGCAAATGGCTGTGTTGCACTGTCGCAGCAGCGCAACAAAGCCACCATGAGGTGACCACACCCAGCAACGCCCCTTTCCAGCCAGGCAGAGTGCCACTCACCGATCCAGTAATGTCCCAAAGGCGCTAAGCCGCATGGCGCTCTACCTGGCTGGAAAGAGAGGTTGTGTGAGCACTTGTTCTGCCTCCAGCTCGCGTGCCTCCCTGCCTCACCATGCTAAACTCTCCCTGCAGGGCTGGGCCAGGACGTTGCCGCCGCCGCCCCACTGCTGCTGCCGCCGCCATGCGCCAAGCATAACCGGCTTCCAAACTCCAGAGATCCGCTTCCGAGTCTTCCGGCAGCGTCTGCTCTGTGATTACACTCTATGGTTGTGGGCTGGCTGTGAGAAAACTCAGAGTCTTGGCCCAGCCTTGCAGGGAGAGTTGGGCATGGTGAGGCAGGGAGGCATGCGAGCTGGAGGCAGAACAAGTGCTCACGCAACCTCTCTTTCCAGCCGGGCAGAGCCCACGTGGCTTAGCGCCTTTGAGATATTACTGCGCCTTTGAGATATTACTGCTCTGCCAGGCTGGAAAGGGGCATTGCCAGGCAGCTGCTTGTGAGAACAGCTACCCGACAACCCCCCGCTCCAGCTGGGCACAGCACCATCCACCAACCTAGCGGTATCCCAGAGGCATCAAGAATTGTGAGCGCCTTTGCCTCCCCTCCCCCTGCCTCCTGTGGCTTTGCGCCTTCGGGATATCGCTAGGTTGGTGAGTGGTGCTCTGCCTAGCTGGAGGGGGGTTGTCCAAGGGGCTTATTATTGGGGGAGGGCATATATTTTTGCCCACAGGAAAAATTTGGCATGGTCTTATTATCGGACATGTCGTAATTTCGGGGAAACACAATATATTGAAAATTATTGCACCGAAGTGTTAGAAATATCTGGAAATGTACAATCCTAAGACTTATTAAAGACCAATGTTTTTTCCTTATTAGCCTTCTTCTACTTGGTGCCCACCAGATGTGTTCGACTAAATTTCTATTATGTCTCAGATAACTTGGGAGCAAAGAAAGATTGTTCAACACTTCTGGAGATATCAGACTGTCAAAAGACTGCATGTAGAATTTTAAAAGCTTTATTTTTAAGTTCACTTTCTCACACAATGTTTCTGTTCTACAGAGATGATTTACAGGCACACAGCAATCATAGATGGAGACATGGTTCATTTTGAAATTCTTGACACAGCAGGGCAGGTATGGTTTTAGTGGCTTCATTTTTAAAAGGGGAGGAGGGGAATGGTCCTTTAAAAATGGAAAAGTACTGCAGTGAGCACTGAAAATGCCAAAGGACAGGAACAATTTCCCCTTTAAGAAAAGATACATCTTTGGCCTATGTAGTAGGGAGGTATGGATCACTCTTCCTCTGAACATTAAAGAATAAGAAATGAATACACTATGTAACAAATAAAAAACAACATATAAAAGTAACTTTGGGTTATAGATTATTTTTTATAATACATGGTGTTTTAGATGCATTTGTCCCTAATAATATATTGTTTTATTGTTATTAATTATTATTTTGGGAGGAGGGCTTATTTTAGTGCATACGCTCAAAAGCCGGTTTGGGCTTATTATCTGGGGAGGTTTTATTTTGGGAGAAACAGAGTATGATGTGCTTTATTAAAATGCATGCAGTTCGTATGAAGAGAAACAAATGCTAGCAAATTCCAGGATTATCCCTTTGTATCCCGCCTTTATTATTTTTTACAAATAACTCAAGACGGTCAGCATATCCATTACACCATACTCCTATTTTAACACAACAATAGCAATCCTATGAGGTGAGTTTTCTCCCTATGGATAAAGGTTTTGGTCACAGATATAAGCTTAGTCATGATAAAAACATGGCGTAAGTAGATGAGAAATAACATATAAGATGTGATTAATAGACAAATCCCCAAATCACAAGACATTCAGATCCTTAAGGAAAAAGTTGAAATGGGTATACAAAAGATGTGGTGTAAGGCTGAGTGTAAGAAATAAGAATGGATTTAGAAATAAAACAATCCATGTGACAGAAGAAACCAATATTTTTGCGAAGATTAGAAGATGGGAAGATTTCAACAGTAATGTTACTAAAAACATCAGATGATTTCCAACAAGATGTTTTGGCCGGAATAGCTAGAGAATGCCTATCTGTCAAAAGGAAAATGGAAAAAATGAAGGCTACTTCCCTTATTGAGTTCTTACTGCAATTTCCAAATTTGGAATACAGAGAGAGGCAAAATATAAGAAGAATTTGTAAACATCAGTGAAGCTTGTTGTGGCTACGCATGTTGCCTCTCTGCACTTTGATCAATTGGTTGCTCCTTGTTAAGATGCCCCAAAGGCCTTCTGGCACAGGTGCTGAGGGTATTAATTGCTACAGTTTAGAATGACATTAGCTCTAAAGAACCAAATCAAATCATGCAAATATTAGTTCCTAGGTGATCATTTTTTAATGCTATACTGTATTTCAAGGGAACATTTTTTTCTTATTCTGAATTAAGCCAGCCCTACCATTTTGGCAGCAGAAATACAGTAACCCTTAAAGTAACAAGCCATATATGTGTAATTTGAATTAAATATTCATTTCAATTACTAACTATAGTAGGTAGCAGGATACTGTTAAGCAGTTAGGTTCTCCTAAAGTCCTTCAGTCTATACTTGGATTTCTCAGTTTTATTTATCTGGAAGCCCATTTTTATTCTTTTTTTTCTTTATGCATAAAAAAAAATGATAGATCACTTTTGCACATGCAAAGTAAACTTTTAAAGGTGAGACTGACAGATTGTTTCCTCTCTGATTAGGGTGTTGGCAAAAATTTGGTAACGGACAAAGAAAACAATGTTTTGAATATTTTCCAAGCACTTGGGCGGGGGGGGGGATTTTCTATTCATTTAATGAAGATTGGTCCTGTCCAGAGCCCACATTTAGGAATGCTATGATTTATTAATAATCAAACTCACTTTCTAATATTAGTGATTATTCTAAGTATTAACTAAATGGCAAATGTTAAAAAGAAGTTTGGTATTTTGGATATAATGGATTTATCATGGGAGGGGTGCTGGATAAATACTGTATACCTTATTGTTTTCTGTTCATCCACTTTACTTGAAGCCTCCTGTAATGGTACTATGAGGAATCACTAAGCTAGGGGAAATGGCAACATCTGGAAATCTTTCTAGATTTTTTTTAAAAAGATGCTAAGTACTGTCCTCTACCAAATGACACATCTAATATGTTCAGTAATTCCTCCAAACTTAGAGGGAAAACAGAATAACAGGGTTGGAAGGGGTCTTGGAGGTCTTCTAGTCTAACCCCTTGCTCAAGCAGAAGGCCTATACCATTTCAGACAAATTAAAAACCTCTCAAGGAGGTAAATGAAAAGGAGTAGCCTAAATGAGACTATATTTTTAGGGAACACACATTCTGCTTTAGAAAAGCATTGAGTGGGAAGTGGTGGTACTCTCTTTCTCGCACTTGTCCTTATTCCACTATATATGTACCCAATCCTGCTTTCCCCAATAGACAAACATAGATAATGTAGGCTGAGGGAGAAACCTGTGAAGGATGAAATGGAATGTTTAGCCATGCCCACTTCAGCTCCACCCACCCGCTCAGGCAATTCACAGCTAGCTTTCCTCCAGTGCCCCTGCCCCATTTTCCACTGCCAATGGTGCCCTGGCCCTCCTCCCCCAACCTTTTGTCCTGGCCCATTGGCCGAGACACGGTTTCACCTGGGTGTTTGGCTCCAAGGGACAAGAAGCCTCCAGCCAGTCAGGCAAGCCTTGTAATTGCTTTTCACTCCTCCTGCGCAGCACACGAGTGGTGGAGGGGGGGGCATAATTGCAAGAGGGGATAGCAACCTTTCTGGCAAGCCTCACAGCTGCTTTTTGTGGGTGAAAAACAGCTGTAAGACTTGCCAGAAAGGCTGCTAGTGCCTACTCCTCACAATCACCCTCCTCCCCCACTCATGCGCAGCACACGGGAGTGAAAGCAGCTGTGAGGCTTGCCTGATTGGCTGGTAGCATCTGGTCCCATGGAGCCAAACACCTGGGTCAAACTGTGCCAATGGGCTAGGACAAAAGGCAGAGGGCGGAGGGCAAGGGGGCAGTGGAGAATCGGCGGGGCAGAGGCACCAGAGGAGGAAAGCTGGCTATGAATCACCCTGGGCGGGGGGCTAAGGGCTGGGGCCCAAACATCCTAAACCCTATCAAGGAAGACAGTTTGCAAGAGAGTCACAATAAGTGGAGGATAGGTTGGGTACTCTCTTACAGGGATACCCTTCTTTTGCCTGCTTTCCAACTTTTATTATCCCTGAATGTCTGACCCTGTCAGCTTTGCTTCTGGGGCTGTCTGTCTTTCTTTGTACAACTAGTATTTATCACAACCAGTTGTGTAGGGGAATTCTGATCTTCCTTTAGAGAAAGTGCCATTTTTATACTGATCTGTGTTTTCTCTTTCTGGACTAGGAGGAAGATTCTCTCCAAATTGAAGAAAAGATAAAGTGGGGAGATGGATTTGCTGTAGTTTATTCTGTCACTGACAGGTGTAGCTTTGACGAGGTGATGAGGCTGTGCTTTCTCATTAACCACATCCATTCAAGCCCAAAGCGGAACAGTGGCAGTGGAGAACCCCCAGTTGTGATCGTTGGAAACAAGAAGGACCTGCAGTTTGACCGAATGGTAACCTTTGAGGATGGAGAAAATCTCTCCAAGGCTCTGAAGCATCCCTTCTATGAGATCTCTACCAGGGACAGCTATGAAGAGTCTGTTGTGGTCTTCAACACCTTATATGGTGAGCTGATGAAGCAAGGGCATTTTTCTCCAGGGTCCTTCAAGAGGCGAGCATCATCTAAGTTAATGGAAAAGATTCCCAAAATCCATGCCAATTCAAGTCTAACTTCAGCAGGCAGGAGTCTCAGCTTCAATTCATTCAGGGACTACATCCCAGAGTGAACATTTGTCTAAACCGTTGTACAGTGATGTTCGAAGCACACAGAGGCAGTTCAAGATTATAAGGGAGAGGCTGCAGGATTGTTAGCACAAAGGGCAAGAGGCCTGCACATTGTTAGGAAAACTTTTTTAAAAAAAAGAATCCATCAAAATTGGAGTATCTGAGTTTGGTCCTTAGCTGATAGCACAAGGCTACGTGATGCAACAGAACAACTTACTGGATGTACCAAAGGACAGTCTATACCTGAATTTTGCTTTCCAAAACATTTTTTAAAAAAATCCAATCCAAAATTAATGATCCTTTCCCCCTCCCACTATTTTCTTCTAACAATTAATATTCAGTAGCCCACAATCTCTGGCTCAAGGGATTCCATTTAGCCAATGTGTCCAATGTATTTCACTTGGCCCATTCCACATACCTTTCCCCATGGATTTGTTCTCTTTCATTTTAAACTTAAGTGAAGCTAGTAGCCATCTTAATGGCAGAGAATTCTAGAAGTAAGTGAGTTGTAGCGTGTTCTCCTGTAGAGTCTTTTAAATTTGGATTTAAGAGCACTATAAAGCTCCATTGGGTTGGGCCCTTTTTATTTTATTTTCAACAACAGGAAAACAGGAAAACTAAATGTCTTTGCAAATGGGAATTCAGGTGCTGAATTCAACAATCGTTGAGCCTTGTTAAGTGTTGATCTCTCTTTTATGTGGTTTACAACTGTGGTTTACAAGGTCTTAAATATATTGTTATCTCTCTGGTTCTTACTACTGATCTGTCTTTTCCAACAAGCATAACATGTTTGCAACTTTTACAGATTAAGACCATTGCTATCATTTCTTTTTGATGGATGCAGTAAAAACCACCCTTAATTAATCAAATATACTTAGCCCACTGAAAATGTTTGCTTGCTTGGGGAAAAGGGTGATTTATTTGCATAAGAAGGTACAAGAAGATCAGACTTCGTAGCCAGAAGGAAGAGAATTCAGGGAATTGGGCAAGTTTAGAGTATCCTACAAGTTAGTATTTAAAGGCCATTAAGTCTACTACCAGGAAATTCCAGGTACTCTTTGCCAGAGTAATTTGAATTCAGATAATTCAGATAGTGTGGATGATAGGAGCCAAGAATGTGTTCACCTGCCTCCCTTCTTTTCAGATTTTGCTTGAAAATGTGAATATATGAAGCTGCCTCATGGGAAGGTCCTTCTAGCCTATGAGTTTATATTTAGACAGATAGGAACTTTTTAACATCTCAGCTTCACTGTTCCTTGAGATGCTTTAACAAATAAAATGTTCCTTATTTAAAGAAAAATAACTGGAGAAATGCTTGAAGCATATATGGTTTGCCACAGATCTACTGCCCCTCTTCAAGCTACCCCCCCACCCGGCCCAGGAGCTTCATCTACTAGGCCAATATATTGCTCAGACTCCCAGGCACCTGTTGTTCTGGAAGGAGAGATGGCAGATTAGTTGGTTCAGTTTGTTCCCTAAGGCTCCTACATGGCTTCTTTGCTTTGGAAAACTATTTAAATAGCTGCTTGCTCACTTCTACTACTCACTTCTTTACAGTGGTTTTTGTGGCTTCTTTGCAATACAGCACAAAGAAACAAAAGGTCTTATGTCTCAAACATGCAGATATTTTACATACACCTTGAAGGATGCTCTGTATTTCTAGAAATAATAAATATGTCTGTACTGATTTCTCTGGATCTTGATTACTACCCACTCCAACTAGTTCTCAAGTTAGCGACAGAGGTTTTGCGTATGTTTTTGCTTTGACACTGTATGGCTTTACAGGTACAATCTGCATTGCAGAATTATTACACTTAACTAAAGTCTCTACATGTGGAGAAGGAATATGCATATGTATTTTTACATACACACTTTGGGACTGTTACAGAGATCATAAAAAGAGTGAAAATGTGATAAATCAATAAATAAGAAATTAAGTAAAACAGACGTATCAAAATAGTAGTGAGATGCCAGAATTCTTAAAAACAACTAGCTAATATGCACGGCTTTTTATTATGATCAAGAGTTCACTGCCTCCATTCTGAGATATGCCCATAATAGCATAGAAATTGTGTCTAACAACATCACAACATGCGTTTTGTGAGATTGCACATTTCAGAGATTCTTGAATGGTTCCCACTAAAAATAATTCCAGTGTATGAGTGAAAGAATCTTCCAGTATGAGATATTTTCCATTTCAGTCATGCCATTTGTGCTAATCCTTTGGTGCTTCAGTGGGAATAAGGAAATCTCATATGCTATCAAATCAGAGGTGGTATTCAGCAGGTTCTGTCTAGTTCTGGAGAACTGGTAGCAGAAATTTTGAGTAGTTTGGAGAACCGGTAAATACCACCTCTGACTCATCCCACCCCCATCTATCTTTGGCCTCCTGAGTCCCAGCTGATCAAGAAGAAATGGGGATTTTGCAGTAACCTTCCCCTGGAGTGGGGTGGGAATGGGGATTTTATAGTATCCTTCCCCTGCCGTGCCCACCAAGCCATGCACACTAAGCCACACCCACCAAGCCACGCCCACAGAAGCGGTCGTGAAAAAATTAGAATCCCACCACTGTATCAAACCCATCCTGTTGGTGACATAAAGAAGGAAAATAATTGATGCTTTTGTTGTCATTCTAGGAGCTCTCAGTTAATAGTCTGATTTACGGTTTGAGGATCAACCTCTCAAACAAACAAAAGAAGCATCTGGTGGGATCCCAGAAGTGGCCCTTCTCTATTGAAATGGCTGTCCTCTGGAAAGCCTCTATTCTAGGGATGCATATGGCTCCATTCTGATGATATTTCAAATGTCTATGAAAAGCTGACAGGCTTTCATCCAAGAATGGATGTTGAGCCTATTGTATGTTTTTCTTTGTATTGATTTTTCCCCTTGTACATGCATAGTTATTTTACTGTGTTTTATGTTTTTATTTTTTCCTCTTTCTTTTAAAATTCTAAGCTGCCCATAGTCATCTGGAATCAGGTGACCTCTACATTTCATAAAACAAATAAAGCTACACTTAAATCTCATCGAAATTAGTGTGAAATTGATAATCTTTCATATTGATTTCACTTGAACTCACATGCAAATAATTAATAGTGGGCTATTATGTATGTGTTTATTTCACTTATGTTATAGGATAATTAGTAAAACAGAAACCCTTTTATTATTGTTGTTCCAAGTTAATAAAAGTGAGCATTGTATTTATCTTCTGTAGTTTTTAGCTTAGTAATAGTAATGTCGGCAGGAGTGGTTTCTGGCTGTTGCTACTGCCGGTTCGCTCAGGGATGTGTGCATGCGCGCACTTGATGCATGCTATGCCTGCATGCGCAGTACTAAAATGCTTCTGTGCATGCGCAAAAACAAAAAACCAGATGGTGGTGCCTATGGCGCCGTTGAGAGAACCAGTATGGGGGTGTGGCAGGCCAGGTTACTATCTATTCGGCCGAACCCGTTCAAACGGGTAGGAACCCACCTCTGGATGTCGGCTTCCTCCTCCCATTTATTCCAAAGTAATCGAAGAAAAGATAAATATGAAATACTGTAAATGTTTATTCAGAGGAAAGTCTTATATAGCAAATGAATCATCAGTCCAGGACTCGGAAAATAATGATAAACACTATTCCATTGTTTAAAATAGTAATCTGGAAACATTGGGTGTTATGTATAACATCATATATGTTTTAAAGTGGTTATTTCTGCAATATAATATTATACAATTGTCTGCTGTTGGTTTCCCCCTCTTGTTTGGGAATTTTATCTTTCTCAGACAAGTTTATTCTAATTTAGATATTTTTTCCATGTGAGAAAACTGTCAGTAAAATGTCTTTTAATCTGCTTGGCATAGGGAATATTCAAAAATAATTACACAATTACACTCTTTGTTTTATTAAATATTTGTTTTTCTTAATTCAGTGGGAAAAGATCAATAGACCTATATAATTTCATGCAAATTTATAACAGCAATATCAATTTATTTATTTAGCATATGGCAAATACATGGACTTATAGTAGTTCAAATGTTAATGTCCAGTATGCTGCCTGGCTTTCTTTAATTCTCCTATCTAGATTGGCCCTGGTAAATGCTTGGATGCAAAACATCTAGGAAGCCCATTATTGGAGGTTCTAGTGTCCTTAATCTTTAAAGATTCTGGATGAGTCAGGTGGCAACCGGAATTCTATTACAGTGTATTCATCACCACATTCTTGATGCTATTAATTGGTGACTTCATTTGTAGGCCATAGTATTCTGATATTACTGAGTGCTGGATGAAGATTCTATTTATTGCACATAATTCAGGGAGAAAATAGAGATGTGATTTCACAAACTTGCTTGTTGTTTCCTTACAAATTATATTAATTGTTTTAAATTTTCTTTTACAGTTTATGTTGTGTGGTGCCCAGAATCATGTGTTGAGATGGGCAGCTATAGAAAACAAACAAATAAATAACATCTCGCATGTCATGAACCCAAAGTAATTTTTTAGGGAACTGTGGAGGCAATTTTGAAAGTTCATGCAGAGAAGGTTCAAAACAGTCTGATGAGATGGGTCAACCTCTCAAGCAAACAATTTGCTTTACTTCAATTGCAAAAATCTCTAGTGAAAGGCAGCTTTTATTTACATGGATGAATATCACAGTTTACAAGTTCTGTTTTATGACATTAGACTTTATCAAATTCCTTTAAATATAGAAAGTTTACAAGTGATTTCCTTTCTGGTAAGTTATGCAGAGAATTCCTTGATACACTGCCTGGTTGCTATTGACTCATTTTAATGTTGATACATGCTCAAATGGCCATCTTGGCCTTAAAACTAAACCTGTCATTTTCTCAGGGATTGGAAACCTCCAGGTATGGCATTGGCAGTGTACACATGTCAGATTGTTTCTTAAAATACCTATGAGGGAAATAAGAAAATGCTGTCATTGAGACAGTTATCTAAGTGTCCACTGGATAGAAGTAGAAGAATCCAATTGCAACAGGACTGGGTTACCATATTTTGAAGAAAGTGAAATAATATAAATCAGGTATCATTACAAAAGTGAGGAGAATTAACAGATAATTAAACTGAGTCCATAATTACCTAAAAGAATCCAACTAGATTCTGTAGTACTTGTACATTCTCCAGAATTATCCTGCTCTGACAATTCATGCAAATATATTCCAGTGCTTAAACTTCTAATGAACCTAAATAATACCAATCTGAAATAAACAGATTAGTACTATGGGCCTGCACTGAATGATGCTAAGATATCTTCTGTGAAGCATCTGCATTCTACAAGAGCAAAGTTGCTTTTCCAAGAGGCGTCTGGAGTTTCTGATTTTTCTTTGAAGAGGTTTCGCTTCTCATCCAAGAAGCTTCAGGTCTGACTACATAATCGATCCTTCTATTCTCCACCCTTCCATTCCCCACCATCCAGTCAGAGCTGAAGAAGCTTCTTGGATGAGAAGCTAAACATCTTCAAAGAAAAAACAGAAAGTCCAATTGCTTCTTGGAAAAGCACCTTTGGGACAACCATGACCTGGATGACTGAAACCTCCTTAGACATCTACAAGGGAGAATTTTTCCTACAGTAAAGAAAGCAACTGCTCTGCTAAGATGATAGGAAAAATAAAATTTTGGCAACTAGCCATAATGGTATTGCCACTAGCTGAGTTCAACTGCAATTCACACAACTGAGAAGATGTGAAATCACAATGATAATTTCAGTAGCAGTCAATTTGGGAAGCGCCTTATAGTCACAGTCTGACCCAAGGAAGAAGTTGAAGGGAGACAGCTTCTATTTGTCTTCTGTCACCTAATCTTTCTGTAATCACCTTCTGCCTTGGAGGAAACAAAAGTTGGATTGTGCAAAAATGTTGCTGTTGTTGACAACCATCATACCATATGTATACATTCCTTAGGGAACAACAACCTTGTTTTTCAAATTTCAAGGACAAGAATTTGCTGTTAGGAATGTTGATGATGATCTTTTTTCTTTTTATGTTCCTCTCAACTCTGACAAAAGACATTGTGCAAAACCCAAACATCTCTCCTCAGGCCAACATGACCAATTCCCAAAAGTACATTCCCCAAATCTATTGCAAGAAGACTAAATGCCATTCGTTGATTCATGGGTTTGTATAATTCCAGATTTCCCCTTCATTCATCTATTAATTCAGAACCCCATTATGTCTCTGGAGATCAAGATTAAAAACAAACAAATTTGCATGGAAGGCATGTTACCTTCTGCTAAACACATGCATACCAGAGGTCTGACAGGTTCTGGAGAACCGGTAGTGCAAATTTTGAGTAGTACAGAGGAACAGCAAATAGGCTGGCCCTGCCCACGCTGCTTCCCAGCCTCCCAGCTGATCTTTCATTTCCCTGAACATGAGAACGGAGCTGGAAAGCAGGTTAGTGGGGTGCGGAGGGAATGGGAATTTTGCAGTAAATGTCCCACAGGAGTGGGGAGGGAATGGGGATTTTGCATTATCCTTCCCCTGCCACGTCCACAAAGCCACAGAACCAGCAGTAAAAAAATTTAAATCCCACCGTTGATGGGCACACTGACGTGCTTCATGGTACTGCTAATTTACAATGTAGTTCAATTTTTTTCTGGCTTAGAAGTCAATCATAATTATGTATTAACCATGGTTTATGATTTATA